TGCACTGGTAACCAAGGAGCTAGAATGTGCCTTCAAATAGAATACTGTTAGGGTTCTAACCATCTGACTATACTGGAAACGGAGGCCTCATTAGATACACTCTCCTACAGGGAATTTGATTTAAGGAAGGTCTGTTTCTTCACTAGAACAATTTTACAGTGTGATTTCTTCATTTTGAAGGCAAAGGAACACATTTTCAAGTATATTTGCCATCACAGCTTCATTTAGAATATTGTGTTGTTCCTCCTCATAAAAGGAACACTTATTGAAAAATAACTCTAGGTTTAGTCATTTTACCGTTTTTAATTGGTGATGCCTCCAAGAAGAAGGAGATCTCCAGAAAGGCCTGCATCATCCAAATTGATTGAAAGCTATAGGCCCCATGTAAACAACGTAAAGGAAAGAACTTCATCAGTTGGTTTGCCCAGTGTTGTTCCAAACTCTGCACGCCGTGTGACCTTTGCACCTAGTCTGACTTCTGTGAGAGCTTCTCAGGAGGTTGGAGACTCCAGAATCTCTCTAAAGACTCTTTTGAATGCTATTAAAACCATGGAAGGAAGACTGGAAGGTAAAATAGACATTCTTGCTTCAAGACCATTAATAAGTGAGTCACCAAATTTTCTTAAACGGGATTCGGTAAGTGAAGACCACAAATTAAATCATAAGGAAATTTCAGATTTATACAACAATGAAGAAAAGTAGTATCAATCCAAAAAAAATAATATTTGAATGTATGAGTAACAACAAGGAAGTTAGGTTCTTCACAAATAAGAAAACCTGACAGTGTAGGTTGAAGCCATCATTTTGGCCAGCACATAACTAAATTTTAGACAGATTTGGATGAACAGTGGCCATTGAGATTTTTTTAATCTGATTTTGAGTTTTTGAAAATTCAAAATATCTATCTAATCTTAATATTCATGATAAAATGTTTAGATAAAGCCTGCTTTTAAAATAGGAATACATTAATAAAAGCCTCAACAACTTGAACATTGGACCATATTTTCCAAAGAAAACTTTTTAGAGCATCCATCTTTGCTTGATATGTAAAAATAAAAAGTACTATAGCTTGTCTTCTAGAGTTGACAGCTCTTTAGATCTTTTCTATAAACATTTTTGCTTAATAACCTTCATATGTATCTTAAAAACACTGGTAAAATTATAAAAACTATTCTTCCTTGTGTCTACTTCTAGAACAAAATCCAGCAGATTTTCAGAGTCTGTGAATTGGCATCCTTTGTAATATTCTTGGATCCTTAAAGAAAGAGTGTTTCAAACGTTACAGGTGAAAAGTTTTAAAGAAGTGTAATAATGTTGAGGAAGAGGTGGGGAAAAGATTTTTGTTGTTGCTATCGGAAGTATAAAATGTTAAAATTTCTTAATGGAGGACAATTTAATATCTATCATATCATCCCACAATTGTACTTCCAGGACTTCCTTCTACAGATAGACCAGCTTGTACATATGACATGTTTACAAGATTACTTATTGAAGTATTATTTGTTAATAGCAAAAGACTAGAAGCAACCATAATTTCATCAGTAAGAGACTAGCTAAATAAATCATGGTGTGTTCATGGCTTGGAATACTGTTTGAATATATGTATGTGTGTATTAACTGGACCTTAACTATTTTAACTTAGTAAGTATATAGTATATACGTATGAGTAGGTTAAAAGAGTCAAGGTTCAAAAGTGTATACATAAATATTTTACTAAATGTGTAGTAAAAGGTGAGGATAAAAAATATATACATATGTGAGTGTGTATATGTTCACTTGTAATGCATAGAATAGCTCTACAATGAATCATAATTGGCAACATTATTTTTGAAGAAAACTGGATGGCTGGGAAATTTTTCAGTTTACCCTTTTGTGTCTTTTTTTTTTCTTATAAGATTGTATTTATTCATGAGAGATGCAGAGTCATAGGCAGAGGAAGAAGCAGGTCCCTGCGGGGAGCCCGATGCGGGACTCCATCTCAGGACCCTGGGATCATGCCCTGAGTTAAAGGGAAACACTGACACTAAACCACTGAGCCACCCAGGTGCCCCTACGCTTTTGTATCAATAATGTGAATGTGGTACCTATTCAAAGTAATTTTATGAACATTTAATTTTCAACAAAAGTGAAAGTGGAGAAAGAATGATCTTTTTAACAAATGGTACAGGAGCAGTTCAATATCCCTGTGCAATACCAGAAAGCCTTTAAGCTATACTTCACACCATATAAAAAATTTAACTCTAGGGTGCCAGGGTGGCTCATTTGGTTAAGTGTCTGACTCTTAATTTCGGTTCAGGTCGTAATCTCAGGGCCATGAGATTGAGCCCCACATTGGGCTCTGCGCTCAGAGTAGAGCTTGCTTGCCCCTTTCCCTCTGCTCCTCCTCGCATGCTGTCTCTGCTGTCTCTCTCTCAAATAGGTAAATAAATTTTTTAAAAAATCTTAAAAAAATTGTTAAAATGGATCAGAATCCTAAATGTAAAACTTAAAACTGTAAAATTTCTAGACGAAAACATAGGAAATCTTTGTGATCTTGGACTACTCAGAGATATCTTAGATTTGACATCAAAAGCATGATCCATAAAGGGAAAAGAAAGATATGATAGCTTATGCTCTTCAGAGATATTTAAAGAATGAAGATATAAGCTGTAGACTAGGAGAAAATAGTTGGAAATCTATCATATCTGATAAAGGTCTTGTCTCCAGAATGTATTAAACTATCAAAACTTATTAAAAGGAAAACTCAATTTAAAAAAAGATATTTGGATGATAAATAAGTGCTTGAAAAGATGTTAAACATTAGTCATTAGAGAAATGCAAAACTGGAACCACAGTGAGACACTATCACACACCTATGTACAACACTGAAAAACTGATCACACCAAATGTGAGGTTGCAGAGCAACAGGAACTCTCACACTGCTGAAGGGGATGTCAGATGGCACAACCACTTTGAAAAAGTTTGATAGTTTCTATAAAAATGAAACACTACTGTATATAACCCAGCCATTCCACTTCTCAGGTATCTACCAAAGAAAATTGAAAGCATAAACCTACACAAAGCCGTCTACACAACTGTTCACTGCAGCTTTATTTGTAATAGCTTAAAACTGGAAGCAACTCAAGTGTCCAGAAAGAGACTGGGAAAGTACATGGTGGTGTACCCTACAATAGAATACTGTTCAGCAACAGAAAGGACTGAATTATTGATACATGAAAAGGATGGAATGAATCTCAGAATAATTGTGCTGAAAGAAGCCATTCAAAAAAGAGTACATTAAAAAAAAAAAAAACAAAAAAGAGTACATACAACTAATTCCATTTATATAAAACTCTAGAAAATAAAAACGAATTTCTTGTGACAAAACATTAGTTGCCTTGTGTGGAGGTGAGGGAACAAGGAGAGAAGGGGGAAGATTACAAAGAGGCATGAGAGAACTTTTGAGATGATAGAAATGCTTATTATCTTGATGGTTTCACGAGTTTCTATGTAGTTAAAACTGTACAGTTGAAAAATACGCAGCTTATTGTAGGTCATTTATACCTCAATGCTGCTTGTGAAAGGATAATGTGGAAGTATTACCTATGCAAAACGTAATTATATTAAAATATTCAGGGATCCCTGTATGGCACAGTGGTTTGGCGCCTGCCTTTGGCCCAGGGCGTGATCCTGGAGACCTGGGATCGAATCCCACGTCGGGCTCCCAGTGCATGGAGCCTGCTTCTCCCTCTGCCTGTGTCTCTGCCTCTCTCTCTCTCTGACTATCATAAATTAAAAAAAAAAAAAAAACAACCTCCGTTTTAAAAAAAAATAAAAATATTCAACATTCTTGAAATGACAAAATTACAGAGGTCTAGAACAAATTACTGGTTGCCCCAGGACAGGGGATGGTTTTGAGATCGTGTGTACATACAAAGAAGTAGCACACGTGGATTCTTCTGTGGCGAGATGGAGCGTTTCTGAATTGTGATTGTGATGGTGTTGACATAAAGTGCATGGGATCAGATTCCATAGAGCTCTGTGAACACACACGCACACAGGTTTTAAAGAAGTGAAAACGGAGCAAGTTCTGTAGTCCAGGTAATCTAGTCAACAGTAACATACCAAACTGTTTCCCAGTGTAGATGTTGAACTACAGCACGTAAGATGCCACCATTGGAAGCAGGGTGAAGAAGACATGGGACCCTTTGTACTACTTTTGCAACATCCTGTGAATCTATTTATTTCAACACTTTAAAAAGAATATTTAAAATTAGTGTGATCATTTAAAATGATTGTATAGATATACTAAAAGTGTTTTATGGATGTAAAATACTAATACTTCTAATTGGGATGTATTCTTCTATAATGCTGTTTTCTTAACACTACGTTAAGAACACTACGTTAATAAATATTTATTCGTCTTTGCTTTTGTTATATTCTGCATTTGTTATATTTTCAAGTTCCTTGATAATCAGTTTCTCCCCCATTTTACATCTAACCTTCATAGCCTTATCTCTGTTATCACTTAACCTGTACTTTCATGGAGATTGACATCTATTAGGTTTGCTCATGTTTATTCACACAGATTTATTTTTGCTTTGTAGTTTTCTTTAAAGGGAAAAATGGCTAATAAAGCTGGTTTTATTACAGTGTATTTAATTAAACATTTTAAGTTTGGTTTCCAAATTGCTGTGTCTTATCCTAATTGCTGATTTATAGTTCTTTGGAAAAGTTATCATTCCTTGTTTTCTACTAAGGTGAAATCCATTCTTGAAAAGAACGAAGAGGAACTCTCACAAGCAGTGAAGTGTCGTGATGTAGCCCTGAAAGAGAGTCAGAAGTTGAAAGGGGATCTCGAGGCCTTGGAGGACAGAGAGAACAAGAAGGCAAGGCATCAGTCCTTTCTGAAAGTTCGTTACAGACCTGAGGTGCTGAAGAAATCTTTCACAAGTCCCAGTCCTTCATTTCTTGTTGCCTTTAGTAAGAATGAAGATTGATCAGAGGAAGTTTTTTTCTAAAGATAACTTTAGAAGAGCTATAAAGTGTTTGCCTTAAAAACACATCATTTAACTCTCAATGTTTTTTTAACAAAGGGGAAAAGTCCTAATTTTTTTCTGTTGAAACACATCTGACCTTGGCAGCAAGAGCCGTCTACTTATGTGTTATTAACATGTTACTAATTCTGATGTTCTCTCTGGCCCCATCATAAGATCACTGAGTTGGGCCAAGCAGAGCAGCCTGGGCCCACGCACATCTAGAACCGGGAAGTTGTTGATGCTGATCGATGTCTCCAGTTAACACACACGCTGTGACGTGACAATAGTTGGGAAGCACTGCAGACTTCTCCACAGTCCTGGGGTCTAGTTTTGTTTTTCTCAAAGTCACAATAAATTCAGATCTTAGCAAAATAAAAGATGCTTCAGTTATTCCTCTTAGCATTCTACTGTGCTTGGTTTCCATAGTCTTGCCTAGAATGGGACTCAGCAGCAGCAGCAGAATAACCAGAAAGGATCAAGTATCTTTGTCTTATTTCATTTTCTCTTAGGTGGGTAACTTCCAGCGACAACTGGCAGAGGCTAAAGAAGACAATTGCAAAGTTACAATTATGTTGGAGAATGTGCTGGCTTCTCACAGTAAGATGCAAGGTGCTCTGGAAAAAGTACAAATAGAGCTCGGGCGGAGAGATTCAGAGATTGCAGGTCTCAAGAAAGAAAGGTACTGGAGATTATTTTTCTGTCTTTGTGAGTGTTAGCAGCGGTGTGCAGTCAAGAAGCAAAGTCACTTTAAAGAGCTAGCCCCCATTTGAGGAAAGCATCCTTGACCGGAAAGGAGGGTCTTTTGGTGAATGCACTAAGCTCTGTCTCTAGACTTCCCAGCCTGCTCTTACCTCCAGGCCCTGGACCTGAGCCACAGCCTTCACTCGGGTTCCCAGGCTCCAACCCAGCCATGCCCCCACAGCCCACACCCTTGTATCCTGCCCATTTTTCCTGCCCAGGAGCATTTTGTGCAATTCAGTGTTCTTTGTAAATTGACATCCATTGTATAGTCTTTAGTCAAGAAGAGGTTTTTGTTTGCAACCAAGGACCTCCCTTCAGTCCTGAACAGGTTTTTTTCCTCCAATTCCAATCCAAAGTTTGACGTATTTCCCTCTCCTTATTTTACTACTCACTAAATGTGTGAATATGACAATTCATCCCCCTTACTGTGCAACACTAGATAAAGTTTTCTATCTAGCTTTACATTTCAGAAATGGTGAAATGTAGACCTGTTCAGTAAAACACAGTATTATAAATATTTATTAGAAATAAACATGATTAGGGAACCCTGGGTGGCGCAGCGGTTTAGCGCCTGCCTTTGGCCCAGGGCACGATCCTGGAGACCTGGGATCGAATCCCACGTCGGGCTCCCGGTACATAGAGCCTGCTTCTCCCTCTGCCTGTGTCTCTACCTCTCTCTCTCTCTGTGTGTGACTATCATAAATAAATAAAAATAAAAAAAAAGAAATAGACATGATTAAAAAAAAGAAATAAACATGATTTTCAAAGATTCAAAATCCCTGTATTTTGTAGTGATGTAAAGGAGTCTGTATTCGAGAAATTCATGTGCTATATTGCTTCTTTACCCTGTTTCTACACCATTTAAACCTGCTCTTAGATCTACAGAATAATAATGGTCTAGTCTAGATAATTAAAGCTAAGTGCCAACTTGAGTTTGAACTATCTATATATTAGTGACCTGTTTAGATGAATCATTCTGAGAACTGCTGCAAGCCGTGTTTTATATGTAAACTCCATTTTTAAAAAATGTTTCAAGTCGCATGAGTTTCCCCTTGAGGTTAACAAACAAATGGTGTGAGTTTAATAAGTCCTCTGAAATATATTGGAATGTGTGTATTAGTGGTGCATATTGCCTCTCTGTTATGGGAGAACAAGTGCCATTTTTATATTCCCCATTGTACTTAACTTTATTTTTTACATATTATAGATGTATGTTACCTCTGAACTTAAAAAAGTTAAGGAGATGATATTAAAAATTGCTTACCGGGCAGCCCCCGTGGTGCAGTGGCTTAGCGCCACCTTCAGCCCAGGTTGTGATCCTGGAGACCTGGGATCGAGTCCCACGTCAGGCTCCCTGCATGGAGCCTGCTTCTCCCTCTGCCTGTGTCTTTGCCTCTTTCTGTCTCTATGAATAAATGAATAAAAAATCTTAAAAAAAAAAAAAAACTTAAAAATTGCTTACCATTCACAATAAAATTCTAGGTAGCTGTTTAATTTATAATCTCAACAGCAGGCCCATCCATCTAGAGGGGATATATTATTGTATATGTATGTGTGTATGTGACATGTATGGGTATATGTATATACATATACACATATATATATATGTATAAAATTACCAGCTCCTAAGTTAGTCATTAACAAATATTGATAGATTAATGTATCAAGCCAAATTGAATCATAGCTGGGACAAATTTTTAATCTCTGGGAGTCTTAATTTCTTAAAAGTCTGAGCATCTGTACTTTACTACATACGCTGTTTGAGCTTCTTGGAAGAAGAGTGCACTATAACTCCCAGTAGTATCATTCCTAGATGGTTTTTTTCTGTAGTGACTCTTCTTGTGCTTTCCATTTTTAGGGCTCTAAATCAACAGAGGGTGCAGAAGCTGGAGGCTGAAGTGGACCAGTGGCAGGCCAGAATGCTTGTTGTAGATGCCCAGCACAATGGTGAGGTAAAGGCCACATTTTATAGATGATAATGTTGATATTTTTGCTTTTATTGGGATATTGGTCATTTAAGAAAATGGAGTAAAATAATCAGGGAAATTTCTTTTTTCATCTGAGTAAGTCTGAGTTTTGGTTACAAATGGGTAGAAGGCCTGCAGCCTTCCAGTGAGTCATTTATTGGCAAAACAGGACCACTGTTATGCCTATTCTCTCTTTCATACGTGGTTAGTCTTTATTTATTAATGCATAAATGACTGCAGTAGTTAAAGGCTCAGAGGATAACTTGTAACTTCAATCATAAATCATTGGAGTGATCCCACTATGAATTAAGGAGACACATTTACATGTGTGTGCTCACAAGTGTATGCACACATGAATATCTCTACATATATGCACATATATTAAAAAGTCATGAGTATTTCATATAATTAAGCTTTTTCTAGAAAGACATACAAGGAACAAATGCCAGTTCTTACCTCTTTAGGCAGTGATACCAAAGATTATAGGATCAGAAAGAATTTTTAACTAGTTTAAAATTTAAAAACTAAAATTAACTTAAATTGACTCAGTTTTTCAAAGCTCACTAGTAATGAGTTGGTAGCATACTTTTCCCATTGCCTCCTGAGAGTCTCCTAAGCAATGTCATAGTAAGTTCTCACATACATATTCCAGGCAACTGGAATCTGGTTCTGGTTCCATTTAATTATTGTTTCAATGGCTTAATGGTAAAGTGTAAGGAGTGAGCATATAGTGTTAAAGACTTCTTACATCTGTGACCATGGAATTAAAAAGAGCCTTCTCTCTTTCAGATGGAGCCTCTACAGAAAGCTCTAGATGTAGCTAGAGAAGACAACAGAAAACTGGCTATGAGCCTGGAGCAAGCTCTTCAGACAAATAATCATCTACAAACAAAGCTTGATCATGTTCAAGAGAAATTGGAAAGCAAAGAACTTGAGCGACAAAATTTGGAAAACTTCAAGTAAGAGCAGTGTAATCACAGTGAAATTAGGGGAGAGTCTCTGGAAGAGTAAGTTGCGCTCATTCACATAAAGCAGTTAAGCACCAATCCTCAACTTGGAACTGGTACTCCCAGGAGAGCCATGTTAAAGAACCAGGCACACCTGAGAGCAGACACTAGCTGGCTGGGGTATGCTCATTTGGATCTCCTTTTCTGCTCTTCCCTCATCTAATGTCAACCTGCTTCTCCACGTGAAGGTTAAACCAAAATTTAAAGAATATTGCATGTTTCCACCAACCCTTTCCTATCAACAGGTGATGTGTCCTTTAGAAGCATGATTTGGGAAAGGAATAGCAACAGCCTGGTGGGAATAACCCATCTAGGTGTGGGATGACTTCACTCAGGCAAATCCCAAACCACTGTTTTCCCGAAATTAGTCCAGTCAAACCCATCAAGTCACTAGGTCAAGGCACTATTTTTTCTATAAACTGCATCTAGGTAAATAGGATTTGGATATAAATAACATTCTGTAAAAATTTTTACCCAAGGGAAACGCAGTGTGCGCATAGATCTTTATGCCTTTCAGCTAATGAAAATACCGATACGAGACAGTGTAAGCTAAAGCAGAGAAGGCATGTTTCCCTTTTTATGATCTGTGCACATTTTATAGTCTAGTGAAATGTTGCTGGCTTTTTTATTGGTTAAAACGAGTATGTGTTTCCCTCTTTGGGTTGGATATCTTTATATTGAATGATTTTTTGGCCTTTAATGCCACAGGTAATGCTTTTCTCCCCCCTTCTGTTAATGGGCTCCAGACCAAGGAAGTTGACCTGGTGCCTGATTGCTACTCATCTGTATATGACACCTTTCAGACGTTCTCCTCCAGGCCTTCCTTACCTCCTGAAGATGATTTCTAAAGGTGACTTTTCCCCCCCAAAACAGAGAACGGATGACTGAGGAATCCAAAATAGAAGCAGAAATGCATGCTGAACGCATAGAAGCTCTAAGAAAGCAGTTTCAAACTGAGAGAGAAACAGCCAAGAAAGTAGCACAACGGGAAGTGATTGAGGTATGGAGTCAAGTGACAAAAAGTGTCTCTCTACATGAGTGCCTTTTAAGAGCGTTATCAATTACAGGATTTCTGAGCATGGCTGTAGTAGGTCTTTGGTCCTTCTAGTCCTTCTGTGAGCAGTAAGCCCAGTGTAATCAAGCCATCTCCCTCCGTGCTCTTCCTAAGTCGAAACACACAAAGCTTCTGATAGACAGTTCTCTGCCTAGCAAAGGAGGGTCTTGATGAGAGCTTTTCCATTGGACAGGGGTAGCTGAGGGATAGAGGAAATGGCCATTGGGTACACATCAAATCGTCTGTCCCCTTAATTCGCTTCACCAGCACCCTTCTGAGAGGCACGTGTGTGTGGCCTGTGCTCTGATGTGTACTACGTGACCCTTACTTGTGATCTCTGCTCTTGACGTGAGACAAATAGGGTAAACAGCAGAGGGCCTTTGTTGAGTAACTAGAGGCTATGTACAATTTTGAAGGAATTCAAAGTAAGGGAAAGTTTGTTTTAGGCAAGTTGAGGCATAGAAGAAGAAGGGAAACAAAGTACGCGATTGAGATTGGCAGAGCTGACAGGGCAGGGATACCCGCTGCAAGGGAATGACCAAAGCTTAGTTATAAAAATGAACAGGATGTGTGAGCAATCAAAGAGGATTTCTATCAGAGCAGAGACTTTGGGAAATGTCTGAGAAAGAGTGGGTAGCTGACCTTGACAATCAGAATGTTAGAGGTGAACTTTCAGGTCAAAGTGGTATTCTGTGGGTTTCTAAGAAATGGGTGGTATGATGAAAGCACAATTTTAGGAAGGGGAGTCTGGTGGTATTAGAGAGTAGGCAAGAACAAAGAGAAATGGGAGACATGTAGACCCAAGCAAGCTAAACAGTATGGGCTTCAGAAGATTAGAGGCAAGCAGCATAGTTCAGTTGAAAATAGAGAACAGTTAAATTGAAAAAGGCATTTTAATAGAAAAATCATGAAACAGGGATGCCTGGGTGGCTCAGTGGTTGAGCGTCTGCCTTTGACCCAGGGCATAGCCCTGGGATCGAGTCTTGCATTGGGCTCTCTGCAAGGAGCCTGCTTCTCCCTCTGCCTGTGTCTCTGCCCCTCTCTCTGTGTGTCTTAAAATAAAAAAAAAAAGAAAGAAAAGAAAAATCATCAAAAGACAGTAAATGTTCTGTCAGGAACAGAAGGGGAGGGAAGAATTAAAATAATTCCAAGACTTGGTTGGAGTGACTGGTCTGTAGGTCTGTATTTTGTCAAATTTGGTATATTTAGCAATAGCAATTCACAGAGACCTTTTAGAAAATTTGTAAATTACAAAACTATATAAACATTAAAGTTAGGAAAGGAAACAAAAGGAAATTAAAGGCACCTTTAATCAGATAGTTGTTAGAATACTTATAAAATTTAAGTCTGTTTAATCACTGAAGATTGTGAACTTGTGAGGAAACCAAGGGCAGAGTGAGGGGGTGAGGTCATTGGGGAGTCAGCAGCAGGGTGCACCACTCACAAGTCCCAGCTCTGCCTCTTACTAACAAGGTGTTGATTGCAGACAGTTTCAGTGTTATTTCCTCAGTCATAAAATGGAAATCTTCGTAACTACTCTCCAGGGTTTGTTTAAGTTGGAAAATATATGCATGAGCGTAATAAGTACAGGGTTATTGTTACGTTGTTAGGGCTTACACCCTAACAAGCAGCAGGGTGCACCACTCACAAGTCCCAGCTCTGCCTCTTACTAACAAGGTGTTGATTGCAGACAGTTTCAGTGTATTTCCTCAGTCATAAAATGGAAATCTTCGTAACTACTCTCCAGGGTTTGTTTAAGTTGGAAAATATATGCATGAGCGTAATAAGTACAGGGTTATTGTTACGTTGTTAGGGCTTACACCCGGTTGTGACAAAGCTGTGATTGAGGAAATGGTGGAGTATCGAACAGAAAGTCAGTTGGGTGGTAGTAAGAGGTCAGCACTGTGGCTTGAAGTTAGGATGTGAAGGAATGAGCTAGTGTAGAAAGAAAAGGTACAAATAACTGTACATTGTCAAACGCTCTCAGCCATCCAGAGTACTTCTCCCTTCTCCACTACCACCTCTTCCTAAAAACCAAGTGGCACTGATTTAAGGGCACTGGAGGAGGATAGGAGCTCTGTAGAATGGTTTAAGTAATGTTAAAAGATAAACTGAGGCATACTAGATATTTTTAAGACTCTATTTGAGCAAAACTCAGTCCAAATCAGATGGTATCCAATCTAGCAGATAAAAAGGAGCTCCAAGGAGCAGAATGAGATGAAAGATTTCATAGGCGGACAGGAGCCAGAGACAAGATATATCAGGCAAAAGAGCAGGCTGGTTATTACAAGGTACTTTCCTTTAGGGGAAGACAGGAGTCTTACCAGGCAGATTACCCACCTGTCTTAGACCATTTGCTCGGTGGTTAGCACCCATGATCATGCATTTCAAGGTTTTGAGAGAATCCAGCACACTAGAGAGACTGCTGATTATTATAAGCAGGATAATTCCCAATGTCTAGAGTGTCCTTTGGAGCCGTGGTCCCCAAGACCCCAATCAGAGTCAAGTAAGTGAAGGACTCTGCCGAAGGAGTCACTTTCTTAAACCAGCCAGCTTGTTCAGTGATCTTCCGTAGCTGAGGCTCAGCTTCTCCAGAAGTGTCAGTCTAAGTGCAGCGTGTGGTGTTGAGGCCACAGCACAAACACTTCCTTGCCTAGCTGAAAGACAATACAGCTAATTTCTTCTATTATCCGGAACAAGTTCAGGCAGAGTCTAGGGGTTTTGTTGGGCAACTATTTATCAGCAGATTCTACAGTACCTTTGAGTTTATGAGAGGTTTCTGATTGCGCCCCCATTTGCACTTACTGCTAGCTAAGGCACTAGGGATCTGCCAAAGGAAGCTAACGTTGAGTCACGAATGCCTCCTGGTAAGTCCTGATTTCACTCTGTGGCTCAGCATTGGAAAGGCAACAGCAGTGGAGGCAAGTAAAGTTCAAGTCTGTAGACCACACCAGTTTTATTCTAGTTTTGCTTGTCCTTTTCTTTGTATAGAATCTAGATGCAAGATTCCCTGGGGTTGGCGTTTTTAACCAGAAGCAGAGAAATTGACCCTTGGGTGTAGGGAGTATGATACAAAGGACAGGGGGCAGAGTTTGGTCCAGAGAAACTGAAGCACTGAAATCAGGGAGAAGTATGTGATGGGCAGAACTACAGGATCACCAGTTGTTTGAAGACTGGATTAGGCCCTTTGCAATGGCATTATTTTTGCAGGTCAGAGCAAGGAAAGGTGGGCAAAACAATCATAAAGACTTGGTGTAAGAATTAAAAAAAAGATGGTCAGGGGATCCCTGGGTGGCTCAGTGGTTTGGCATCCTTCAGCCCAGGGTGTTGTCCTGGAGTCCCAGGATCGAGTCCCGTGTCAGGCTCCCTGAATGGAGCCTGCTTCAACCTCTGCCTGTGTCTCTTTCATGAATAAATAAATATTAAAAAAAAAAAAAAAAAGGATGGTCAGAGAGAGAAGGAAGAATGGAAAGAAAGAAACATTCTTGATCTGAAGTCTTAGGAGCAAGCAGTCTAACCCAGTGTCCACTACTTCTCTTCTTCTTAGTTTGATTTTTAGGCCTCCACAACATATTTACATAGGACCAGATGTCAGATGGAGCCTTCTTCAATTGTGAAATATGCACCTATACATAGTAGGATCCTTCCCAGGAATCTCCCTTCTGCAAAAGTATCAGAGTATAACAACAGCTGTTGGTAAATGATAAAAGACTTTAATATGCTCATGCTTAAAGATCTGGGTGGTTCAGTGGTGGTTCAGTGGTTGAGCGTCTGCCTTCAGCTCGGGGTGTAATCCCAGGGTCCAAGATCAGGTCCAGCGTTGGGCTCCCCACAGGGAGCCTGCTTCTGCCTTTCTGTCTCTTGTGAATAAATAAATCTTTAAAAAAAGTAAAGATCTGATGAGAGTTCACTGTAATGGAACTGACAAGGAAATATGGTTATGTCTGTGATATACAGCATTTTAAGATAACTAGAATTATGACTGATAAAAGGACACATTAAATTTTTAAGAATTTCCTACAATTGCTAGAACACTTATATTAATAACACATATTGTACAAATATAAGGTTTATCATCACTTATTTGACAATGCTTCCCATGTAATTTAGCATCATATAAACCTACTAATTAGTTTGACATTTCTCTTTTACATAGTGAAACACAAATCCTTTGAGATTTTGTCTTAGGGACCCTCTGGGAAATCTCAAAGTTATTTTGAGATCAAAAAGACTCCATTTAGAATTTTATTTGGGAAAGTTTTCAAAACATGACTAAACAAATTATTATGAAATATCATTTAAACAAAGTGACAATAGAAGTTTTAAAGGCAAATACAGAAAGTTACATACTTAGCTCTTAAGAAAATCCAGTCTTCTCAGTATTAAGCAGTCAAAGACCTGATAAAAGACAATATGAAGCACAGTAAATTATTTTGCTAAGATGCAAAATCTGTTTTTCAGGTAAATTACCCCCAAAATTAAAAAAAAAAAACAAAACACTTCCACAACCTCTTATCAAGAACAAACCAGCAGTCCAAGAACTGTCCATTTAGTAAAGAAAAAACCAAATTCTAATTATGCACCAAATTCATTCTTTAAAAACTTGATAAATCCATTCTAACTTAGCCATTTCGACCACACATAAAATTCCCTTTTCAAGATTCCTTTTCCACAAACCAACTTTTTCTTTTATCCATCCCTCTTTCTCATTTTGGAACAGTCATTTTACTTTCCTTACAACTTTTCCTACACAGTTTTCTTACAACTCTCTTTTTTTTTTAAGATTTTATTTATTTATCCATGAGAGACACAGAGAGAGGCAGTGACACAGGCAGAGGGAGAAGCAGGCTCCATGCAGGGAGCCCGATGTGGGACTTGAGGAAGGCACTCAACCACTAAGCCACCCAGGCGTCCCACACCTCTATTATTTTGAAGTAATTTTAATTACACATATTGACTAGAATTCTTAACACATAGAATCCTTATTCCTAGTGAAAACTAAGAAATAAGCAATTGTAGAGTATGTTACAATTAACATTCTGTGGGTTAGCAAGTTTAATAAGTAATTCCTTAATTTCTAGAAGTATATTCTTCTTCATAGTAAACTTCCCAGCTTAGCACAAAACATGTCTACTAACAGACGCAAATTTCTTTAATTTCTCTGTAAAAGGAAGCCAAAGTGGGTAAACCTATGTTTAGTAATTCATGTTTTGGTATTTTATTTGGAAATGATCTAGATATTCAATGAATATCCATCATTTAATTTGTTTTAGGGTAATTTCAAGGTTTCTAGATACCAAAAAGATTTTGGAAAATTTTATGCTATATCTGACAATTATGTTTAGATTACTCATGAAAATTTCTTGCTGACAAATTCTGTAACAGAGATAGATGAGTTTATCTGACTTAGTAAACCTGGTAAAACAGAAGTATTACAGTTAATGCTGATAATTCTGAAGACACGGATACTTTGTTGATGATTATCCTAGATCATGTAACTGCAAAAACATTTGGGTTAGTTTCTCTATTTGAGCGTACACTTGATAAAGCTAAGGTTACTGTTTCAGGCTAAAGCTTTTAACTCGTATTTGTGAAGGAGACTTTTAAGATTTTTCATGGGCCTAGTTTTCAAAATATCTTTTCCATTTTGGGTTTTTTTTTTTTTTTTCCTTTCTCTTCATGAGAATGGTCTTCATTCTTAGAGAAGACCAAGTAGGATATTTACATCTCAAAAGGCACAGAAAAAGAATGTAAGTTCCACCAAGGAGGATTTTTGTTCCCTAAATACAGATATTTTACAATATCTGCAGCCTTAGATGAATAGGGGAGGTTTGGGGATTGGTAACAAGAATAGATGAGCTTTGAATTGTTTCTAGGGCTGAGTTTCTGTTCTTGTACATTTAATTTATAAGACAAGTACAGTGTTTAATTTCTCAAAGAATTGGGTTGCAGCCTTTAATGATAAACAGGCTGACCCACCCATCCAACTACACAATCTTCAATTTGCTTCTTTATTATCAGGGAGATTTTCAACTAAGATGGAAATCAAAAGATTCCTATGTTCGAGATTTAGAGCTGTGTGTCTTTGGAATTTAGTAAATCCTTCCACAGAGGCTTTAATTTTCTCTCTAGGTACAGTTTCATCTTAGCTGAGGGGAGAAAGACCTTTTTTTTTTTTCCCTCCTCAGCTTCACTCAGACCCAAAGTATCATCCCTCACTATGTGAACTGCTGTTGATGAAAAATACTGCCATCATTGCAGAGAAAAGAAAGGAATTTTTAAAAGTCTAGCAGGCTCTGAATATGGCCATCCTCTGGGCATAGAGCTACTTTAAATCATTTCATAGATCTTGCTAGGTTTTAGCAAGGACAAACAGTAAATATTCCTAGCAATATTGAACAGCCTCATGGATGCAAAGGGGTCCCCAGAAAAGGCGCAAAAAATACTCCCCACCCAAACTCTAGAACCACTCCCAAAGATAACCAAGAGAATTGTCCTGGCTGGCAGCAGTCAGATGGGATAGAACCTGCATTTCTGTCCAACCATATTTTTAGAGCCTCTAACCTAGTGGTTGCCCAAGCCAGGTTCAGGATACAAAACAAGATAACAAGAAGGCATAAGCTGTCCCGGGAAGAAAGATCAACAACCAGTGAGTACTTGAAAGCAGATTAAAAAGACACAATTCAAAGATATAATTTTGTCTGTCAGTCTGAATTTGGAAAGGAAAGGACAATGTGAAACTTTACCTTTCTTTCTCAACCAGACACCACAGAGAGACATCGGAGAGAGCTGATTTTGGGGAGAACTCTTGTCTTTTGCTAGCTTCTGCTCATTTCCCCAGATCCTATCCATAGGTTCTGGGCAAGTGGGCAGCGGGGGTGGGGGGGGAGTGAGGGGGTGGATTCCAGGAGGTCTCATCCTAGTCACCAGAAACCACAGAGAATGAAAAACAGTTTTCCTTCTACCCTTTATAAGTGCTTGGCTTTACTTGTCTAGAGTACCTCACACATGGATAAGCTTATTGAGGTTGAAAGTTCTCCATGGTAGCCACTATAATTCAAAATTATCTGTCTGTTCAGCCTTTAAGTTTTTATTCACCTGAGACCTCACACTGGACCCCATCCAGAAAAAGAAAGGCTTAAAGTCCAACAGCTGCAACCACAAAAGCTGCAGAGCTAAGATTTAAGAGGGACTGACGCCTGACCTCCAGAGGCCTCAAGGAAGCTGGGGATACCTACAGACCTGGTTGCTTGTTGCTCCTGGGGAGCACTGCCCTCCTTCCTTTTTTCTCTCTGACACCACAACTGTTAAATATTTAACATGCCTCAGTTTGTCTTTTAAGGGTTTATTTGAACAGAAATTGATTCAAATTGGGCATCATCCAGTCCAGCAGCTAGAGAACTCCAAGGAGCTGTACAAAATGAAAAGCTTTTATAGGCAGAAGGGAGCAAGAACACATTTTACTGCCACTAACTTGAGTTGGTTATTGCAAAGTTTCTTTCAGGGGAGGGCAGGATTGGGAAGATTACCATACGAGTGCTCGTCAGGCAACTGCTGACAGATTCGTCTAAGAGTTCATTTCTGGGAAAGTCAAAACTGTAATTCAATCTTGGTTTGGTGACGTGGGGCTTAGCATAAGGGACTCTGTTTGGGGCTGTTGTCTTGGTTCCAACAATATTCACTATGGTATTTTTTTCACTAAACATTTATTAAAATCTTTGAAAACTGAAGGCAGTATAACAAAAAAATCTATGCAGTGGTAGTAACTAGCAAGTATTTATATGAATTACTTTCTAATTTTCAATTCTCTAGACATAGGTCACAAGTGACAGAAGGAAGAGAAAAGCTTAAAGCTGAGCAAGTGTGCCAGGCTCTCCTCCTGTACTGTATCTTTTTTACTAGGAATCCTCGGAGATAGTTTATTTGCATACTTTGCCAGTGATGAACCTGAGCCTTTAGGGAAGTTAACTATCCAAAATTACTTGGCTAGTAAGTGCTAAAGCTGAGATTTGAGCTTAGGTTGGATTCTAAAGTCATGCTCTTAAAAAACAAATGATGAACATGTATTTACAATATTTATCTGTTCTAGGAAAAATTGTGTTTAGTGTTAAAAATTTTGAAAAACAAAAAGAAAACTCCTTAGACTGTTGCTCTACAAATCTTCTTAATCAGACATCATTATCATTGCCTCACTTAGCCTCCCCTTTAAAAGAAAGGTCAAAAAAATAAATAAAAAAAAAATAAAAGGTCAAAGAGAATGAAATATGGGGACAGGTCTCATCATAAGCCTCTCTTACTGAATGAGAGGTGAAAACGACATTTTCCCGTTGTGTTCCCCAGCTGAAGAAAGCCCTTGATGAAGCCAACTTCAGATCAGTGGAGGTGACCCGGGCCAACCGCGAGCTGCGGCAGAAGCTGACAGAGCTGGAGAAGGTCCTGAACAGTAGCAAGGAGAAAATAAAGAATCAAAAGGCCCAAATCAAGCTCCATTTGTCGACGAAGGCGAATAATACTCAGAATATAGAAAGGATGAAGGTTGTATGAGAAACACTAAGTCTCCCCTCACTTCCTTAGTGTCTGATGAGGATCCAGGCAGGTGGTGGGGTCTGGTGAAGATGGTTCCAGAGTCCTAACAGCACCTGTGTTCTCTGGGAATTATAGCTGCACCCGGGGAGTGGGCAAAGTGTGAGAGGGTGCTGTTTCTCTTTCCGGCAGAGATACTGCAGTGTAAGTGTGTGGTTTCTCAGCAGCTGCCCTGTGCCCTTGTGGATCCCCTCTGTGCCTTCCACTGTGACTGTAGAGGACTCTGCTCTTCCCGGGCCAGCGGGAAGGAGAGCCCAGCAGAGGCGACAACATGGGTCTCATGGGGATTCCCCCTGTCATCCTGTAGGCAAAAGGGCCAGCCAGTTTTCCCACTAATCATCTTTCTATGTTATCTCCACATTTACTTTCAGCAAATAGAAATGGAATTGAGGCAGATGGAGCTAATTAAGGATCAATATCAGAAAAAAAATTATGAACAGGTAGATGATTTCCACAGACTTCATGTTTACCTTTCACACAAAATCTCCAACCTGGGACAGGTTGACAACTGCTTTCCTCTCTGTGCCCCACCAGTCCTTGAGTATCCAGAAGTTCGTGTCTGAAATGACTAACCTACAGAAGGAGATGCAGTTGCTGGCCAAGAGCCAATATGAGACGTCTGCGCAGAACAAACAGCAAGAGCTGCGACTCGAGGCCGAGCGGAATGTTCGGCAGGAACTGGAGAGCCGGTGCCGGGTAAGAGGCCTCCTCGGAGAGGGGCGGTGGGGGACTTGGACTGAAACCCCACAGTAGAGAACATAGACTTTCTAGATTCTGTAGCAGAGATGCAAATCTGCAAGTAGGAAGAAGCCTGGAGCTTTGAATATGGCACGTGCTTGCCATTTATAAAATATTCACTCCCAGAGAAGAGCTAACGCTCACCTGTGCAAAATACTGGTTCCTAAGTAGGACTCCTGAACTGAATTCCATTGTCTTTCGGGAACTTTCTGTGCCTTGGTTCTTCCCTGAAGCTCAGATATGCCTGTTACTGTGGTAGACTTGAAACTCTCCCCAGCCTCCTGAAGAGCGTGACATTCTGTCTCTGGAAAGGGACTTGAAGAGACCATCAAGCTCTTGCCTTCCAGCACACATGGTCTCCTTAAAAAAGCATTCCTTCCATTCTGGAAAAAAGATATTGATTACTTTCTCCTCAGGAGAATACAGAAATCAGTCAAAATCTGTCATCGTATGCATCTGTGTATACTACTGAGAGGAACAGTTCTTTTTTTTTTTCTTTTTTTGTATTTTGGTAGCACACCCCATGGTACTTTCCTAATTTTGTTGCTGATTTATAACAACATGGAAGCTTTGGGCTCCATATGGGATGTTGGGAATTTCTAAAAATCTTTGTATCACATGTTCAGGAATTGGAAGAAACTATCAGACACCTAAAGAAATGTAAAGAGGCAACAGAGCATAAGCTGAAAGAAGCCAGTGTGGAATCAGAACAGGTAAGCCAGACCTATGGGTGTAGAAACGTAGACAGGTGTCCTCCAACACAGCAACCTTGAAACCTTCAAGTCAAGGTAAAATCCTTCATTAACAGAGTTGTCAGGCAATAACAACTTACTAAGTCTAATGTCTACTATGAAGAATAATTTTTAGACTGAGGTTCTGTGTCCTGATAAAAGATAACAGAATGCTGAAGTCCTGAGTGAACCTCAAGTCCAATTCTCTACCCCTAAATATAAGAAGGGAAGACCAGCATGTGTGTAGATTTTAATGCATTATGGCTTGACATCACTAATAAGAATGGAAGCTCTTTGTTTAGTCAATAACTAGAAATGTAAAGTAGGCCCTATTTATTTTTATTTTTTTATTTAAGTAATCTTTCTTCCCACCATGGGGCTCAAACTCATGACCCTGAGATTAAAAGTTGCTCGATCTTCCCACTGAGCCAGATACCCCTCGAAGGCCCTTTTAATTTGTGAATTTGCTTTCTCTAAAGCATTTTAAAGGTACTTTTAGAGCTGGAAAGGGTCTTTGAAATCATTGTCTGACACAACCACTCCTCATTTTCCAGATAAGAAAATAGATTCTTAAGGTATACAGTGATGGTGTTGTTAGTTGGTCATGTGTCCCTTTTATAGCCATTAAGTCATAGAAATAATGTGACTGTCAGAACAGTGTATTAAAAGGAATATGCACTCCAACACACAGGAGTTTTGAGTGCCAACCTACCCTTGAGGAAGTTCCATTTAACTCATCAGTTATCACATCCAGAAAAGCCAGGATATTAAAACTTAACTATTCCATTATTGTTAGATGACTCAGAGTAAGTTTCAGTAAGTAGTACCCCCCTTCCCATTCACTGTGCAAGAGGAGACATGTATGGGGCCATTTCAGGCATCTTTCCCTCCACTCCAGGTAAAGAGCGCTGAATAAAGTTGTCTGGCGTGGTGAGGGAGGTATGAGGGTATCATGGGCACTAGGATATACAAACAGCCCCGGAAAATAGTTGAACTTTGTAGCTTTCTGAAAGTTGAATGACAAGGGGAGCTCTACTTTCTTACTATTTAGTACCCACACTAGGACCTGGCTAATCTGGGACAAATACATAGTCACACATATTTACTGTGGACCTGTCTTAGTGTGGGCGCTGTGCTAGGTGATGAAGACTCAGGGTGAACAAGCCTGAGGAAGCCCCTGCTCTCATGGAACTTACCTTCTCCCAGGAAACAGAGAAATACACCTCTCTCTCTCTCTCTCAGATGTCAGAATCAAAAAATGAAAATGCTGTCTAGGAAACATAATCAAAAGGAGGAAACAGTTATTTTACTTTTTATTCTAGAGGATATGTTCTGGAGCTGTTTTGAAGCAACCTTATTAACATAAAAGCCAGTTAGCTTTACCTTAAAATACTGAAGTATCCCAAATACATACAAAAGTGCCAGGCACACACAGGCACTCAGTAAATACTTGTCAATTAAATGGATACTGATTCCGGATCATCTTCGAAGTCAGACTACTAGAAGGGCCATTGAAGTCTAACAAAGATAATTTGGAAATATGTACTTAGGAGCTGAAGTATAAAATGTTTTAATGATAAAGGAAATAAAAAGAATGCAAATTACACTAAGCTAGTCCAGTCTGTTACTAATTTGATTACTTTCATAAAGCCCAAAAGAAAGATCTGTGTATAAACTTTGGAGTAGGGAACAGAACTCAAAAATTCAAACTCAAAAAAAAAAAAAAATTCAAACTCTGGTTTGAACTACCAATATTCATTGGCAGTGCCTTGTCCTTTCATTCTTATTTTCCTCCTGGGTTCTCTTCCTTTCATTCACATCCAGAAAATATTAATTAATGCTTGAATAGCAGCAGGCTTGCATGCATTCAACTCCACATTCAGAAACCGCTCTCATCTGTGGGAGATACATCATGCGAATAGGCAAAAACCTGGCACTTGCAATTTGGATCTTTTAACATCTGAGTAAAAAAAGTCTCGAAACTGATACACAAAAAACTTAAACCTTTCTTTGTCGTGATTTCTAATGATAACACGTTTATGTTCAGATAACAGCTAACCTGGAAGAAGCTCATCGCTGGTTTAAGTGCAGGTTTGATGGCCTCCAACTTGAGCTGACAAAAAACCGGTTGCAGAAGCTTCCCCGAGAAGACAGGTGGCTGGAAGAGGTAGGGTATTTAGACGTGGCTGTCTTCAGCAATTTTGGATTTGTTCCTCCTCGGATTTCTCATGGCAGAAGTTCTCTCTTCATCCAGCTACTCTCCCCACTAATCTTTAGGTTTCTTTAAACTGTAAAGAAAACAGGGATCCCTGGGTGGCTCAGCGGTTAAGCGTCTGCCTTCTGCTCAGGGCGTGATCCCGGGATCTGGGATCAAGTCCCACATGGGGCTCCCTGCAGGGAGCCTACTTCTCCCTCTGCCTGGGTCTCTGCCTCTCTCTCTCTCACAAATAATGAAACCTTTTAAAAAAAAGTAAGATCAACTATAAAGAAAACAGACTAAATTTCTTCCTTAACAGCTGCACATCTCTCAAACTGTCTAGGTTAGGACCACTCACCTTGATGAATGAATTATATTCATAAAGATAAAAATTGGTCCTCAGCTTTGCAGTTAGTTTTGAACAGTGTTAGGTCTGTTTTCTTTCCAACAGGACCAAGGTAACAGGCACGATACTGCATCCAGCCAGTCTGTTCTACATCGATGGGAAAATAAACAGAATCTTAAACTTATGCCCAAGAAGTGTCAATCTGAACTAGAGAGAAAGTGACGTCCTTGACAAAGGCGCGCCATCTATAGCTACACGGCCGCGATTTCCTGAGCCCAGCAACCAGAGCTGGCCTTTTCCACAGTCATCAGAACATGAAGTCTTTGATGTGGGCTGAAGATTTTGGACTTGAGTTTATCATTTTATGAGTTTTCTGATACCAGTACAGAACCACCCCACCTTTTTTGTCCTTTTCCCCATTTTCCACCCAATAAATTTATATTAATTTGTTGTATGATAGATGCTATTGTAGGATACTTGGCTATTTTCCTAAGTATATTTTATCAAAATACTTAGTGAGGTCCTAGATGATATGGCAACTAAATGACAAGATATTTTGTTTCAATGAAATGCTATAACATCGGGTAGGTAATCCCTGAAAATGGAATCACCTGGAAAATAAAACTTTCCCACGGTTCTTACAAATGTATACCCCTTTTATGCTAGGTAATTATTAGCACATTTTCTTAGCACTTTTCAGTAAGACTCTGTTTTATTATTTATTGTTTTAAGTAAGTTCTACACCCAGGGTGGGGCTTGCACTTACCACCCCCCCCCCCCCCCCGCAAGGTCAAGAGTTGCATGCTTTACTGACTGAGCCAGCCAGGTGCCCATGTATCTATTCTTAGAGATTGTAAATGTCCAAAGCTGTAAATACAAAGCAAATTATTGTGTATACCAGTCTGCTGCAGGAAACATGTAGCTCCTCCTTAGTGTAGTAATAAATTCAGCTTTTTTAAAAAATTTAGATACTGAGTGGTAGATTATATACATTAAGTCTGGACTACCTAAACAGCTACCATAAGATCTAGTTTAATTGATGCTCAAGTGATGGCAGCTACTGATGGTACTATCAGGACCTAAATGAAATGAGCAATTGTGAAATTGGAGAGAATATCAAAAATAAGACTCTCAGAGGATGAGGAGCCCACCACTCTTTATCTGATATAAAAAGACAAAGCTGAGTTGACTCTGGTAACCGAGAGCTGTGTTGTTAGGCAGGCTCCTCCCTGAGCGGAACAGACTGCTGATCTTATAGAAGGTTTTGGGGCAGAACTTTCAGAGGCTTATGAGGGCTGATATCATCTGTAGAAGTGTAGTTAATGTGGGTGAGACTCTTAATTGGCATTCAGGGGTAAGTTTATTAGAGCACATCCATTCCTATTGTCTGACTTTCAGAGGTGGGGGCTCACTGATTGGCGGCAGCCTGGCAAAAGCCGCCTCACGTTGTCTAACTCCTACGGGATTTATCCCTTTGGACTCTTCATAAGGAGATATAGTCAGTTGAGGGTGCCAGGGAGTCAGTCTTGAAATAGTCTAACCAAGAGCCCCACAGAACGGTTGACCTTAGTCCTGAATTCTTCATGGGAAAAAATATCCCAGTTACTGCATAGGAGAGATGATCAACCTTAATGGGTTGTAAATCTACTGTTCCTGAGTGTTGTCATGACATTGACCGTTACTGGCCAAGAATACATTTATCTTCCTCATCCAGGACAGGGGCATTTTTTCTTCACTTGTGTATTGTCCTCAAAGAGTACCATCATCAATAAAGTCAGTGTAACATACCTTTATATTGTTTTTTTAGGTTGGCTATACTAAACATTAGCTTCGGAGAAGTGAATTGTAGAGTTATGTTGGTGATCATTTCTAGTAAAGCTTATAGTTAGAACGCCCTATTCAGAGTAATGAATTTGCCGAAGCGTTTCTGTAGTACCTTTGTCAGGTTCCATTGTGGGCCTCTGCTTTCATCCAAAACAACCAAAAAACAGACAAAAAGTCAAACAATGATTTCTAAGACACCAGACATGAAACAAGGAACAGTGATCCCTGAGAGAAAGGGAATAAATGATGTGAACCCTACTATCGCCCCAGCTTACAGCCTTCAGAGAGTTTACCTGCATTGCAAGGAGGGGAAATCGGTGGGCTTCCTGAGGCGGCACCAGAGCTCAGGGAGACAAGGACTGCTGGAGTCCAGTACCGAGTCCCAGAGGGGAGAGAGCTGCATGGAGGGAGAACTTCAGAGAGGTCCCAGAGGTCCTCTGAGTATTCAGCTGTGTCCCAGTCAGCACACGCACAGGAGGAAACCACCCAAAGCTGGAGAAAGAATCATCCCAAAGGGTCCGAGTTAACCACCTCAGTCCAGCCAGCGCTGGACGCATCATTACATTTAGCCTCCGAGGCTGGGTGGGATTTGTGAACACATTGCCCTGCATGTAGTGTACGTACTAACAGCCTTATCTACAGATCTAGTAATTTCACTAAAGTTGTCTTGTTTAGAAAAAGAATGCTTATGGCACAAACTGATCTTTTTACCATTAGTTCTACTGTAAGGTGATGACTGTGGAGTGTGTTAGAAGCTGAAGGCAACTGAAATTACATGTTCTTATCGACAACATCAACTTCATTCGGCTCAAACCAAGGAATGGTTTAATTCATAGCTAAATGGATAGCCAATGTGGCCAATTCATTCTAAAAATTAGATCAAATATCCCTTAAATTAACTTCTTGGTTTGATTTATCCTTGTAGGTTTTTTTTTTTTTTAAACTAAAACACCCCAGTCACTGGTCAGTCCTTGACTAATCCTTGAGTGGTATTTAATTTTATGTTGGCTGAAGGCTTTCCTTTGACAGGCCATACCTAGCTTCTAAGTTGTACTTGAGAGGTTTCTTTTCTTCTTTTGAATGATGAGGTGCTTTAACAGCTACCCACTGGAATATTATTTGACTGGGAAGCAATTTATGATTTCAGGAGTTAATACAAATGGTATCTCATAAATTGCTGAGGTTTATAAAGAGAATGTAGAGGTGAGGATGTGAAGACACCCTGATAGCTCTGGCTGGCTGGGCAGGATGGCCTTCCTCACTTGCTGAGTTAACAATGCTCAGCGCGTGTGCGCGCGCGCACGCGCGCGCGCACACACACACACACACACACACACACACTCACACACACACAGTATCAGTTCCCACCAGCCAGAATCAGAAACCTCATGATTTACAGGGCATTGGGGGGTGGAGTATACCATAGAGTATCGGTCTCAGAAGTAGATACTAGTAAGCCCTATAGTCAACACTGCTCTGCTCCTACCTAATCTTAAAAGCAAGACCCCAAATGACCCATTTCCAGGTAACTGCATTCTGACACAGAGCTTAAGAATATTTAGGGGAATACAGGGGCACCTGGGTGGCATAGTCCATTAAGCGTCTGCCTTTGCTCAGGTTATGATCCCGAGGTCCTGGGATTGGGCCCCGCATCAGGCTCCCTGCTTAACAGGAAGCCTGCTTTTCCCTCTCCCATTTCCCCTGCTTGCACACTCTCTATCAAATAAGTAAAGTCTTTTCTTAAAAGAGAATATTTAGAGGAATACAAAAATATATGGCACCCATCAAGGTAAAAAATAAAAATCACAATTTGCATTATCCAATCCAAAATTATCAGGCATAAAAAGCAGAAAAATTTGACCCAAAACATAAATGTTAGAAGTGACAAAGACATTGAAACAGTTACTGTAGCTATATGTTCAAAGAATATTACAACGACAGATAGTAATAGAAATTAAAAATACTTCATAATTATTAACTAGTAGAAAAATGATGGGTGATTTGCTTTAGTAACAGAGATTTACCACATGTGGTAACATCAGATTTAAAGGGGATGCTAATATAAGATCTGAGGATGCTTTGACTCATTTTTTGACGACTGTAGTGGTTCTGAATCAAGGAGACTAAGCTGTGGCTACTGAATTAAGGGGTAGGGCAATGGTATCACGTCTGCTGTGTTGTTAACTCCCATAGAGCACATGGCCTCGACTTCTCATGTTAGTACAAAAAGCTTTATGAAATCTTGATTCTGGGAAGAATCAACCTGGACTCTGACTTTGCTCCAGGTAAACAGTCTATGGAGTCATTTGCCCTTGGGGATTCTGATATTACGGCTATTTTTTTTTGTTTGTTTTGTTTTGGTCAGTTTTGTTGAGGTATAATTGACAAAATTATAATGTATTGAAGGTGTACATCATAAGGATTCAGTATACATTGTGAAAGTCTTCTATCACCTCACATATAATTTTGATAAGAACATTTCATTTTTACTCTCAGCAAATTTCAATTATATGATAGAGTTGATGATTCTAATTGTCATACTATACATTCGATCCTCAGACCTTATTCATCCTGTAATTCAAACTATCCTTTTACCAACCTCTATTTTCTAACCCTTAGCCCCTGGCAACCACTTTTCTGTTCCCTGTTTCTACGAGTTTGACTCTTTTTTTTTTTTTCTTTTTTAAGATTCCACATATAAGTAAGTGTCTTTGGTAATCTTTTGAGGGTTTCTTTTTTAAGATTTTTAATCTCTACACCTAACATGGCACTCAAATCTGAACCCCAAATTTGTACACTCTACCAACTGAGCAACTAAGT